GTGCAGAAGTTTGCCTCTCGCCTTTCCTTGTCTAGCGTATTGTGGTATATCGCACTGACGGAGCGACAGCGTTCACTGGAATCTTAACTCTATAGAATGAAAAGAAAAAGCATAGGCAAAACCTTTACTTGAAGAGAGATAAAATGTATGGAGTAGTAGCGCGTAAAAAGACCGTATTGAGGCGAGCCTCAAATGTAAATTTGAACCTTAAAAGCCGTTCGTTAAAAATATGTATCACTTCCCGATCAGCCCGAGAGATTTTAGGCGACAGGCTGAAAATGCAGAATTGCATTATTTGGGAATTTGGCTTAGTTTGAATCAGAGTTTGAATTAATTCTGCCGGTTATTACAGTGTTTTGTCTAGGTTTTTTAATGTGAATTGCATGTTTAATTACTCTTTTTACTGATTATTGTACATATTAAGTAAATACCTAAAAAGTGGGCAGTGACTTATTGTTGATTGATATGATGATTTAGAGGGACCATGTATCATCAGAAGACTTCCCCAGGTAAAGTTTTTCGAATCATTTCTCGATAAATTGTGTATAGTCAAAAAGTGAAGCGACCTGTTACAGATTCCGTTTTGTTTTACTTTTATAGGATGGGTAGAAAAACAAAATTTTACCATACAGAGTAAAATATAAGAGAAAATATCCTGAGGTCGCTTTGATAAAAATTTACTGTTGCAATGGCCCTATGTAATAGGTTGTCAATCAAATTGTTGATTGTTTGACTATGTTTTTTTTTAAATGTATGATGTACCTTTTTTATTAATTTGGTCGTTTTGTATATTTTATATGTGTGTTTTTGTATTTCTTCATTTTTTTTTGATATACTGAGTTGGACACGAATAAATAAATAAACCGTATGATCGAGAAAAAACGGCGTCAGCGTTGGCTATGAAATGAAGATCGCTGTCATTTTATATGTAAATTTATATGGGAAATGTCATCGATCGTCATTTCCCAGCCAACTAGACGCCGTTTTTTTTTTCGATCATACGGTATAATACTGCGAATTATATTACATAAGGCTATTTCCGCAACTGCTAAAAATTTAGAAATATTTTAAATACAAAAATGTGCGCTTTTTAAGTCTGTAGGTATCTAAAATACTACAAATAATATACAGTGTGTATTGCATTTAAAAAAAACTGAGATATTGCATTATAATATTGCAATGTTGACTGCGCCATAAAAAAATCCCTGTGAATGTGAATTTTTCTCGGATTTCTTATTTTATCCTACATACTATATTATACGTACTTAAGCAATAATATATCATTAAGTTAAATTCACTCCAGGTTTTTACCACTTTTTAAAAGATGAAATTTTTCAAATATGAATCATCATGGAAATCCCGCATATATAGTGCTTCAAATAAATCAATTGTGTGATGTATGCTGAATTTTATGCTGAACCCAATTTTGTACAGAAAAATGGTAATGCGATTGCAATTTTAAAGAAAATATTTTTTTAGGATATGTACTTTTTTTATATAGAACTTCCTCGTACTAATGGCCACCCTATATACATACTAATAAAAATTCTCTTCTAATGTGCCTCACCATCTTCCAGTGCTACGAGCCGCCCCTGGATAGTATTCATATGTGTCAGTTTTAAAATTTATAACAGAGATTTTTATCTCAAAGTTACAATATGCTCGGGCAACGTAAACAAATCGATAATATAAAAAATAATCCAGTTATTTAGGCTTATCGGAAGCGCTAAAGACTCATGAGTATTTCTGTGCAAAAATCACCACGATACGATAATTATTAACGAAATGACGGCAGGTTTAAAATTATTTATTTTGTTAAATCGGCGCGCAGCAAAGCGTCGATGTCTCGCCTTGCCTACTGGGCTGCCTGCACCACGCGCTCAACTATAATATTTTTTTACTTATTTGGGACAGTCTGTATCTTGTAAAATTATTTTTAAATTGTAGCTCTAAGAGTCCTTCAACGAACCCAAAACTTACAATTTGTAAAAATCAAATCGTTTAGCTACAATATTCCGTGTCGTATGTGGTGAACAACCTTGTATAGGCAAAGCACGCAAAAAACACGTAGGCAAAGGAGCTCTCCCCACAGCGCACACTAACAGGCAAATATTTCAAACGATTTATTCACGTCAGTACAAAATCCTCAAAAAATACCTCTCGTGTGTTCCCGGCTAATTGTAGACTTTAGGCTATGACATATGATGGCAAAACATCAAGTTTTTTAAGTAGCAGTAAGACAGTTCCACGGCGATCTACCGTATAATCGTAAAGAAATGGCGTCCAGTTGGCTTGGAAATGAACATCGATGGCATTCTCAATATAATTTTACATATAAAATGACAGCGATCTTTATTTTATAGCCATCGCCGACGCCGTTTTTTTTTAATCATATTGAATTTTAGGTATATATATTTCGCAATTTTCTCAGTTTATTTTATTGTATTTCCAACTTTAATTAGGTACATAAGATACTCAGCCGTCCATTTCATTTTTATCTGAACTTTGAGCACTCTGTACAATTTACAATTAAGATCTTTGTAATAAAGTAAGAACAGACTAATGGTAGTAAATACCTTTGTTTATAAGTAATTACTGAGCGTGAATTTGTTTTAAAGGCGTCAATCATTATTTTAAATTATTTTTTTAACAAATAAAGCTACAAATTCGAGGTACGAGCATTGGTATCTCGGTAACCGTAATAGATACGAACATGGTTAAATTGGGGCAAAGTTGCGCTTTAGGATGTTTACTAAAATGTCATCAAAAAAGTTTTAAAAATTTCGAGTTTTTTGGAAAAAAACGGATTTTTTTGAAAATCAATTTTATTTTTTCCTGTCGTTACTTTTAGAAAATCAATAAACTAATTACATATTCTCATAGCCACTTTATTAGGGCTATCTGGTGGTATTTTTAGATCTTCGAACTAGCTGATAATTTGTGAGATGCAGAGGCCAACTTAATTTTTTTAAATACGGACCTGCATTTTATATTTAAGGTTTTGAAAGAATTCGCTCTCCTGAGTACAATGATATGCCACACTTATTTTTTTTTTGTTTCGGACATTTAAACAAAATTCATTTAAACTAATTTCAAGTCCGGCTCTGTTTCTTTTAATATTTAATATATTCATCGTTACAATACCGATAAGTTTTCAAACTTAACAATGACTAGGTTTCTGGCCAGCGAGGTTCCTGGACCTCTCGCAAAGGGGCGGGGGACTTGACGTCATTTGTAAAAGTGAAATCAATACATCTCAACATTAATAATAAAGAGTACAAAATGCATTTGGAAGTATAAGAAGAAAGTTCAAAGAGCAATAAATAAAATTGAACGACAAATTGTGCAATAGGGAGGATGGTAACCCTTTGGAACATGTAGAGCATTAGAAACTAGTTTGTAGAAGTTAGTTAGGTAGGTTTATTTATCATAACGACAATTAATATTATGCATATTATTAGATCGTACAATGAGATTTCAAATTCACAATAAAAAAAGTTAAAAATAATATTTTTAAATTGCTGACCTGGATATTATTTATTTGAATCTTCCAATTGGCTCGATTTTCCTTATTCAACGTTAATTAGCGCTGATCAAAATTGTTGGGATGAATATAATCAGATTAAATTAAGACTTAAAATTATTTTAAATAAGGTACCCAAAACAAAAAAAAAACTATAAAGTGTGGCATGTCATTGTACTCAGGAGACCGAGTTCTTTCAAAACCTGTAATAAAAAATGCAGATCCGTATTTAAAAAAATAAAGTTGGTCTCTGTATCTCACAAATTATCAGCTAATTTGAAAATCTAAAAATACTATTAGATAGCCCTAATAAAGTGAATATGAGAACGTGCAATTAGTTTTTTGATTTTCTAAAAGGTTAACAGGAAAAAATAAAATTGATTTTCAAAAAAATCCGTTTTTTCCAAAAAACTCAGCAATCCTTGAAAATGTTAACACTTTTTTAATATCATCTTGTTGAACATCGTAAAGCGCAACTTTGCCCCAATTTAACCTTGTTCGTATCTATTACAGTTACCGAGATACCAATGCTCGTACCTCGAATTTGTAGCACCCTGTATATTTTTAAAAAATGCTTTCAAGAAACTAACGTTTTCCTTGATCCTTGATTGTATGTGAGGCGCCACCCCGTATATAATTGAAAGGCAGCATTTTCACTTTGAGATCCATAAATTTACAAAAAAGTATATCAATTTAAATTTGTGTTAATTAATTTTATTGAACCTTGTTGACTATACCGGGTGCGTCTGAAAAGTGGCTTACCCCCATAATTTTTTTATTTTTTCAGATAAAAAAACCAGATTTGGTATGTTAGTATATGACATAAATGAAGATTTATTGACGTATTCATTTGTTTATGGTCATTTCCTGTTTCACCGGAAATAACTTCAAATTTCGATTTTTAAATGGCACCCTCGTTTTTTTTTACTTTATTCGATAGAAATGACAATCTGAATAGAATGAAATATTATATGTCAACTTTTGGGTTTCTCATATAGTTTATTTAAAATTGTAACATGCGGTAATCAACAAAAAATGGATCGTTTAGTTATTCCAAAAGCTTCATTTTTGCTTTATATGAGTTTTGCGGTAAAACGCAAGGTTTTTGAGTTATTTATAAAAATTGGCAAGAAATATGCAATTTTTAGATGAAATTTTCAATCTTAAATAACTAGGAAAATATTAATTTTTTGAAAAAATGTTATAGAACATTTTTTGCTTAGAATTCATCCCTTTATTGGTTTTTGTAATTAAAACGGGTGACTTGTTTTTCACCCCCGAGAAGAGGGGGTACTCATCCCCAGGGTGAAAGCACACATCGCTACTATGTAACTTTTGTTTCTTACATATATCTCTATTGACTGTTACAATTTTACGTCAATCGGTGCAGGTGTTCAGAATTCGGACCCTAAAACTCTCGCTTACTGGCCTATTAATAAAAATCATTATTTCAGTTAATTAATACATTTGATTCTAGGTAAAAATCTGCAAAGATTAACGACAAACTACAAATTGGCTTTTGGGTCATTCTTGGATAAACCAGGAATGCCATTTACTCAAACGGATGAGCAACATTTAAAAAATCCTTGCAGATGGGATGGGGCAGAATGCAATCCTAGCTATTTATTTAAGCATATATTAAACTTTACTCACAGTTCTGATAGATTCTTTAAAGCAGTAAGTAGAATATCAATAATACTTTATAAAATTGGATATAAGTCTCAGAAGCCTCGAAATGTGCATTAATTTCGATTTTCTTAATTTTTTGTTGATAATAACCATTTTTAAAGGACATTCGCGTCTTTTCTGAGTAAATATATAAACGTTTACTACTTATAATACAATAAAATGGTGATAACCTTTACAAACCAGCTTAAATTGGTTGCTAATTGTTTTGACAGAACGGGAAGTAATGAACTCTTTAAGCCACCAACCGAAGTTCCGATGTTGTCGATTATTTTATGTTGGATTTCTTAAAATCTAAAATGTATAATTAAGTTTCCCTTTAAATCTGGGCATAGTGACAGTTTTCAAACATGCAATTTTCTAGGGCAATGAAATTCCAGTTCCAAGAGGGTGAAACCACCCCTCAAATATTACAATATTTTTTATTTAAAAAACGGTCAAGTTTCCGAAAAAACGCTTAAACAAGTATATTTTACTTTGTTTTTTTACATATTTTAAGACTTTTTAAAAATGTATACAGGGCGTTTCGAAAAATCTGGTTAAAAAAAAATAAAAATTGATTAATCACGATCCTGCTTAAAGCGCTTGACGTAAAAAGATGATTTTTGGAAAATAGATTGACTTTAGGGTGTAGAGGTTCGATAAGAAGGGATTTTTCGAAACTCGAATTCTAAGAGGGTGAAACTATCCCTCACCCAGACAGCACACAACATCTTTAAGACGTCTTGTTTATGTCCATAATATGTCTGAACGCCTGAAGATCTGATAAAGACATCTTTAAGACGTCTTTTTAATACATCTTTAAGACAACAAAATTTGACATCTTAGAGACGTCTTTTAAATGCCTTAAAGTTTTTTTGTATCATGATTAAATTTTCATGGCCCAAAACCTATAAAAGGACATTTAACTCAAAACAAAATTGTAATCATTTACCTTTCCAGTGCCAATTATTGCTGTTAACTATTTAAATTCTAGTCAAGAGTTCTATTCTAAATCCAGAGGAATTATTAGACAAATTATTTTCTATTAAAATTACATTTAAAATATAAAACCATTGATTTAAATAACGCGCCATAATTAATTTACTATATAAAGCAGACCAATCCAAACGAGCCGGTTTGGCGCTTTTTATTGTCCATCTTTATCTAACCTATTATAGCTGCCTTGTTTAGATTTTTTTTTCTCTTTCGGAGTTATTACGTATTCGATTAAGCAAGTCAGTATCGACCGGGTGTATATCTATCCTGTATTAATAAAGGCCCTTAAACAGAGATGGAACTACGATCAATTCGCACCGAACTACGACACCTGACCAACAATTTTGTCGCCTCGTGTTTGGTTTTCCCTTGGTTTTCCTTCCTTGTTTTTGTTTTGTTCCCTATTTTAGAAATGGCGGCGAAATTTCCTTTAGAAAAGGTTTTTGTGTTTTACAGTGTTTTTAAGCTTTGTTAAAGCTTGAAATAAAACTACTTGAAACCGGTATTAATAGTTGCGTTATATCTTGTAGAAACTAAAGTGTTTTACTGGTTAATTTAGACTGTTTGGATCGTTTTTATCTACGAGCAGTTTTGTGCTTGTTTTGTGTGTGTAGTATAATCTTTGACTTCAGATTGGAAGTTGCACAAAGGAGGCTGAAATTGCCATCCAGGCATGGTTGAGGAGGGCATCCTATCGAAGAAGTCGAAAATTAGTTTGATGCTGGATTTTATAAATTTGTATTTCATTGTATTTAATAAATAACAGAATAATACAATATTTTTCTAATAATGTGCTTTTAATTTTATAGTAAAAAAGTTTGTGACGTCTTTAAGATGTTATATAGACGTCTAAAAGGCCTGGTATTTGTACCATTTACATCCTAAAAACGTCCTATGTCTTTGTCAAAGTCATCTTTAAGATGTTATATAAATACGTCTTTAAGACATCTTTTTTTGTAACATTCGATGTCTTAAAGACGTCTTAAAGATGACACGAGGCGTATACAGGACGTCTTCACGATGTCTTGAATATCTGAACAGGACATCTTTAAGACATCTTTAGTACATCTTTGTGCTGTTAGGGAATACAGTTATTAATCTTATATATCGTATTTTTAGGTCAACAAAAGTAAAATATCTGCAAATGCGGACGATCCGGATGGAGCGTTAGAAGCCATATTTCATATTTTAGTGTGTGGTGAGAAATTCGGTTGGACTCAAGAATCTCGTAAACTCGTGATACTGTCTACCGATAGTTTTCTTCATGTGGCTGGAGATGGTATCTTAGTGGGCGCTACATTAAGGAATAATGGAACGTGTTTGATCAACTATAACGGTGAACACACGGCACCTTTGCAGTACGACTATCCTTCCATAGACGAAATACGCTACTGGCTCCGAGAGAAAAAAGTAAGACAACTTTATGTCTTTTTTCAATTAAGGCACTATTAGTCTTCGATAATAATTACCCCTAAACTACTTAAATATACTAAATTTTGGTATAATTTAATTAAAAACCATTACGTCAATCTTCTTACAGCAGTAAGCTCTATATAGAGCATATGTTCACTCTGTACAGGGTGGGTCAAATTCGACGCTTTTATACGGAAACACCCTTTTCTATAGGAGATAGACAAAAACTAATATAGGTGTGTGGAGCTCAATTTTTGTCAAAAACATGATGGTGAAAACCGCATATCGATATCTGTTACCGTTTCGGAGTTACGGGTTGTTTTTCAAAAATATGCATTTTTAACAAATCGCTGTAACTTTTTTGCTATGGAAAATTTTGTATTTTTATGAAAACATTTCCAAAGCACCTTTTTACGTAGAATTTAATGGTTTAAGTATAATTTTTTTAAAATTAATAATTTAAGAATTATCAACAGAAAATTTGTTTTTTTATATGGGACACCCTGTATATTTATAATTTACTGAAAAGAATTTAAAATTACCTTTCCAAAAATATTACACACTTGATATTTTGCTCGATTCCTCTTCGATATATAGAGTATATAAAAAATTCGACCCCCTTTAAATAAGTAGGCTTTGAATGGCACCGGCTGTAATGCAAAAAAATTCTAGCTGTGAGCATCCATTAAAACGAAAATAATATTTGCTATGAGAGATGCAGAATTTTATAACAATTTAAAATATATTTAACCAACATCAACACATTTAAACTATATCTGATAACAATAAAAATAAATAGCAAACTAAGACATGAGATTTTGCTACAGGTGTTCGACATATCGACCGTCTTCTGGTGACAGACGGGGCCATTTTTGAACATTTCTCGCGGAATTCATTAACTCAGTGGGGGTGAAAGATACCCTCTCATAACTGCTAAGTATTTCTAATTCTTGTCTAGATTATACGGAAGAATAAGGCACCTTTATTCTTCCGCAAATATATCCATAGGATTAGATCCATGAGCACTAAGTCAGGCGGCCTCGATGGCCAGCGGCTGGGATCTTGGTTAGCTATCCAATTATTCTTGAAATTGGCTGCAAAAATTTGCTGATAACAGCATTCTGAGGTGGTGCGTCGTCTTGCTGGAAAAATATGTTTTCGAGTTCCATTAAGGACATATTATCAATAAGGGGTCCAAAGCCTACTAGTTAAAAGTGACAAACTTTTAAAAATTCTGTATTTCGAAGGGGATTATAACAAAATATTAAGTGTGTTACATTTTTGGAAAGGTAATTTTAAATTGTTTTCAGTTATTTAAAAATATAGAGGGTGTCCCAAATAAAAAATAAATTTTTCTGTTGATAACTCTTAAATTATTAATTTAAAAAAAATATACTTAAACCATTAAATTCTACGTAAAAAGGTGCTTTAGAGATGTTTTCATAGAAATACAAAATTTTCCATAGCAAAAAAGTTACAGCGATTTATTAAAAATGCACATTTTTGAAAAACACCCCGTAACTCCGAAACGGCAACAGATATTGATGTGCGGTTTTCACCATCATACTTTTGATGAAAATTGAGCTCCAGACACCGATATTAGTTTTCGTCTATCTCTTATAGAAAAGGGTGTTTCCATTTAAAAGTGTCGAATTTTACCCACCCTGTACATACAGGATGTCCCATTTTAGTGTGAGTAACAGGGTTTATATATATCATTTATAAATAGATATACAAAAATGCGGTTTCCAAATCACTGTGCTATTTTTTATGAAACTAAAGATGGTTAGGTTAGATGTAGTTATTAAAGATGGTTAAAGCAACTATATCGGGCACCGAATATAACGGAAGTAGCAAGAGCACAAATGGCTGGGACATATTGAAAGAATAGCTGAAGCAAAAATTCCTAGTATGATAATAAAACGTAAAATAGGTGGAAAGAGAAGGAGGGGTAGACCAAGAACCAGATGAAAAAAAGATGTTGAAGAGGACTTGAGAAGGAGAAGAGTGGATGGGTGGAGAATAAAGGTGAAAGATAGAACCAAATGGAGAAAGATAACCAAACAAGTCATGAGTCTATTAGAGCTATGATATATAAAGATGGTACACATAGATTTCTCCTAACCCTCTTAGTTCCTAAAATACAGAAAGAATTTGAAATTTTTTCCCTCTTCGTCTCTCGGTTATCTTATAACATCAAAAAGATGAAAACTGAGTCCCATAGAGTTTTTCCCGTAGAGTTCAGTGGTTTAACTAGATTCGCTGTTTGCCTGAAATTTATGTTTTTTTAAATGGGGTAACTTTTTTTTTTGGGGGGGGGGGTATATGGCGGTATATTTTTTTCTTGAAACGTCACAAAATTATTAGTTCTTGTGACGTGATTAACAATATAAATAAGTCATATTTTAATGCCTTACGCCTAAGCATAAAAGTATGGAAATCTATTATTAAATTTATATAAAGTTTCAAATTCAGCGATATATATATATATATATATATATATATATATATATATATATATATATATATATATATATATATATATATATATATATAACTTTCTTTCTTCTTCTATAACTAACTATATATATATATATATATATATATATTATAGAATTTCTTATAAGGTATTACTTTTAAATATTTTTATATTATTTGGAACGTTTAAAATTGCTGAAAAAATTATTTGTGACGTTTGAAAAATGGCATATTTTATTCGGAGTAAAAATGACTTGTTGTGCCTATGTTGTGCCTCGCCTGTAATGTCAAACGTACAGCCTTACCGCGAAAAGGCTCGTTTTTGTTTCTAATAAAACAATATACAATTTTATTTATTTGCCTTGTTATGAGCTTGATGTTTGTGTTTGCAGTAATAGATTTAAACAAGACACAAAAGAAAGGAATAACGTGCAGAAAAACAGTAATTAATATGTTATTATGCTTTATCCGTTCATCAAAATATAATAAATTTTAAACCAATTTTATTACAATTTTCACAATATCATTGGATACGATTGACATATATTTTGTAAAAAATAAGTTAATAAACTAACTTAAGTAAAGTTAGTCTGTGTTGAGAATCCAACGAATGAGTTTTATTTCGCGACGGCTCCTTTTTTAACAGGTTATGGGCCCAGTACGTCGGGTTTTGTTAAAAAAGTCGCGATAAATCGGTTGAAATTCGATTGTTTTCGTAGTGTTTAGTGTAACATAACACAAGTATGGCTGGAAATTTCATAGTTAATGTTCCTAAGTTAAAGGGACGGGAGAACTATGATGAGTGGGCGTTTGCGGTCGAGAATTTTTTGATTTTGTAAGGTTTGTCCAAATGTCTATCAGAAGTTCTGGAAGCAGAAGACGCCAAGGCAAAGGCTAAACTGATTTTAACTATCGACATGTCCTTATATATTCATATTAAGGACGCGAAGACAACAGTCGAGTTGGGGAAAAAGTTAAGATCACTTTTCGACAATAAAGGCTTTGCTAGGAGAATTGGATTATTGCGAACGCTGATCTCTACCCGTTTGGATGGTTGTGATTCGATGGCGAGTTACGTCAATCAAATCATGAAGACAAGTCAGAGATTGCGTGGTCGGATCGTTGCTGCTAGCGGGATTACCGGAAAAATTCTCACCCATGATTATGGCAATAGAACATCTGGTATGGCTGTAACAACGGATACAATAAAAACCAAGTTATTGGATATGCAGTTTGACAGCGGTGGCGGAAGTGCTTTCGGTGCTAGTAAGCCAAGCGGTAACAAATGCAATAATTTTTATAAATCGGGCGACAAAAAGACAGTAAGGTGCTTCAAGTGTAAAAAGTTAGGTCATTATCAAAATAAATGTCCGAGCGTTAGTAAGACTAATAACTCTAATGCATTTAGTTCGGTATTCCTAAATGGTAACTTTTGCAAATCGGACTGGTACGTAGACTCGGGTGCTAGGGTTCACTTGACAGCTAGATATGACTGGATAGAAAACGAGATTAGTGCAAGTGTGCCGGAAATAGTTGTGGCCAATCGAACAAGAGTACCTGCGAAATGTTCTGGTGAAGTTATGATCACTACTAGAGTAGGAAATCGTAAGTACGATATACCTGTGAAAAATGCTTTATGTGTTCCTGAATTGACAACGAACTTATTCTCAGTAAGTCAGCTTATAAAAAATGGAAATGTAGTTAAATTTAACAACAATGGTTGCACCATATTTAATAAGCAGAAGCAACCAGTTGCAACAGCTGATTTAGTTGATGGAGTGTATAAATTGAACATTTTTAAGTTTGAAAAATGTTTATTGACACAATCAACTATTCCAGGCGAAGTTTGGCATCGAAGATTTGGACATATAAATAGTGATTATCTGAATAAAATGCAGAATGGGTTGGTGAATGGACTTTCCTTTAAAGGTTTAGTGCAATTAAGTACAAAAAATTGCAAGATTTGCTGTGAAGGTAAGCAGACCAGATTAGCTTTTAAGCACAAGGGTACCAGAGCAAAGAAGTTGCTAGAAGTTGTACATAAGGTAAACTAGCCAATTAATGACCGCTTAAGCAGATACTCCAACTTTATTTCAGTACTGTTTTTTTCTGGAACTGACTAAAATTCAACATATATTTCTTTAGGGTACTTTGAAGTATTGTCTTTCATAAAATCATGCAATTTTGTTATAATTTTGTATTATAACTTAAATATTAACGGATATTCGGAAAAGCAGGTTTAACCAATTATTGACCAGTGTAAAGTTGAAGATATCTAATTAGTGACCATACGCATATCCAATTATTGACCGGCCACATTAAATTGATTATGTGAATTATACTTACTTATTGCTATACTTTTGGATATAAAACAACAAAATTTTAATTAAAACTTTATTTTTTAAATACCTACATAAATTAATTAATAATCACAAACATATTGTTACGGATTCCGTGGGTCCACTAATTTAAACTCACGATAAAATACTTAACGAATTTATTTTCTCACTTTATACACA